GCCAGTTATTCTGACATTATTTTCAGATTTTGTTTCAATTAGAACTTTCTGAATCTTCTCAGTATGAAAGGAAAAATCCAGTAAACGATCCACAAGACTGCTGCAAGCTATTTGTTTTTGGTGTATATGTATATTGTGAAATATGGAGAGCTGGGTTTCATTTATTTGTTTTAAAAAGAAAATGGAATTGTTTCTGTTTCATTGGTAGGGAGAATGTCCAAGGCTGTTGATTATCCTGCTAAGGCCTGCCTGGGGTCTCTCCTGATGATACTCACTCTCACAGCTGAATGACACTGGTGCATAAAGTGATGCCTTACCAAACATTGCAGTGGTGTGGCTAGTTGAGCATGCCAGAGTCAGCATGGGATTTACTTTCTGCATATGAAAAACTCTACAGATTCTCCCCCTCTAGTCTACTCTTGTAAGAGCCCCTATCAGTAGTGCTTCCAGCTGGGACCCCCAGAATAAGAAGGATGTGGACCCATTGGAGCAAATCTAGAGGATGCTGCAAAGATGCTCAGAGGGTTGGAACACCTCTGCTATGGATACAGGCTGAGAAAGTTGGGCTTATTCAGCCAGGAGAAGAAAAGGCTCCAGGGAGACATTAAAGCAACTTTCAGCGCCTAAAGTGGCCAACAAGAAAGCTCAAGAGGGACTTTTTACAAGGGCAGGTAGGGATAGAACAAGGGGGAATGGATTTAAACTAGAGAGGATAGATACAGATTAGATGTTAGGAAGAAATTCTTTGTTGTGAGGATAGTGAGGCACTGGCACAGGGTGCCCAGAGAAGCTGTGGTTGCCCCATCCCTGGCAGTGTTCAAGGCCAGGTTGGACACAGGAGTCTGGAGTAACCTGCTCTAGGGGAAGGGGGTTGGAGCTGGATGAGCTTTAAGGTCCCTTCCAACCGAGACCAGTCTGTGGTTTTACGAAAAGGACAGAAGATAGCAGCATTTACACATCCCGTCTTATCAGCCAATAAATTGAAAAGAAGCATCCATAACTAAAATGGTTTTGTAGCCATTTGTGCTGATTGTATTGACTAGTTCCATCAGATTTAGAGCATCAGATTCTCGGAGTTAGTTTTTGTAATCCTTTGCTAGTCCACAAGCTGATGGGGACCTTGCTCTTCATGCATGTGCCCCTACGTTTTATGCATAAAATGTGAATAGAAGTGTATAACTTTTCCTTTTAGGTAGGCAATAGATGTTTTACAAGAGTTTCAATGGGAATCAAGATATTAGTGAAGTAATTAAGAAGACAGCCTCATGGAGTCTGAGAACTCATATTGGGAGCTTGGCGCCTGTGGTGAGATGCTGCATAGCCATCAGTAAGAGAGACTGTCATGTTGTTTCCTGAATAAAGAACTTGCATAGCATTCCAAATACATTTGCTAAAATGCGTATAATGATGATAGAGCTAGGGTGAGTTTCAGTCTGTGGCTTTTTCCCCATGGTGAAATAAATGAGGGTTATTTCTCCTGACCCTGCTGTGTGTTAGTGTAGCATGAAAAAACTATTTATTGAAAAAAGGTTGCATAGTGAGTTCTAGGGCTTGAATTTATTCTCAAATAGCAAGAAATAGACTGTGTCTTTCCTACAGCATCTAGGAGTGTAAGGGTTAAGTGAATTATGTGCTTTTAATGGGATGTTAACTTGAGATAATGTGACTTTGTTGATAAGTCTTAGTAATATACTTCAACTAGGTTTTGTACTTGGTAGCAGTCTTGACTATCTCATTACAAGTAGACTTGAAAACAAAACTTCTATATCCTCAGTGGAAATACCCAGCATAGCATGGCATAATAATATTCGTTTTTATGTAGGTGTTTGCTTCATGCAGTCAGTTTCTAAGGCAAAAGAGACATTGGCCTTGGTGTAGCTTTGCCAGGATGCCCTGATCTCTGGGTAGAGGATATCCCTCTTTTCAATCATATGGACCCAAAAGCTACCTGGAGAGTTTAATATTGAAGCACCTCATGTCTGGGAAGAAGCAATAACATTTAAGTGTATTAATTCCAGCTACTTCCTTTAAAATAATAAAGAAGTAATGAATTTAAATGAGTTTTAGCTCTAATGCTGTTCCAGTTTGAGCAGCATTTCCATGCTGTGACCTAGGGACTGCTCACTTCACTGAAACCCCATTGCCAAGGCTCAAGGGGAGCAACCTTTCCACAAGTCTCCTTGAGGATTCACCTCCTCGGCTGGGGGCTCTGATTTTCCCAAGCGGACAAGAGCTGGTTTTTCTGTTAGACTTGAACAGCTCAGGGTGCGGTCACTCAGCCAAGCAAGCTGGAACAACTCTACCAGAACTGGGGTGTGCACTGGTGCTGGAAAAGCCATGAAGGCCAGGCTTAGTGGAAAGAGCAGGGCATGCAGCATGCTTCAGTGGGGTGGGTTGGATACTGCTGTTGCTGGGTGTGGGGCTAGGGCCACGCTGGCTTGAGAACAGTGGGCACTGAGGCAGGCGTTCACCTTCCCGGTGGCTTGTTTTGTACCCCTGCCAAAAGGGGGAGTGTATAAAAGAGTATCCAGGGACACTTGTGGAGAAATTCTCACCCTTGCATTAAATGCTCAAGCTTTCCTGTCCTCCTCCAGGGCACTGTATCGCCAGTGTTGCACAAACGCAAGCTCCCAGTAACACCGATATAAAAGACAGCTGTTTTGGCCTTTTTTTCTTTAATTGAAGCTTCTTTTGATCATGTTCCAAACAGGTATTTTACAAAGAGCAAGTGCATACCCACATCATTATATAGATTATTAGGAAGTTTTTTGCTGTGCAGGTGCTGGGGCTGTGTCTGTCCCATACCTGGAAGTGTTCAGGGCCAGGTTGGATGGGGCTTCTATCAAGCTGGTCTAGTGGAAGGTGTCCCTGTCCATGGCAGAGGGATGAAACTGGATGAGTTTTAAGGTCCCTTTCAACCCAAACCATTCTATGATGTGATTCTATGGTATGATTTCTATTAATTATAAGTGGTAGTATGCTTTTGTGATACTAACCTCAGCCAAGGACAATGGGAGCACTCACAGAGCTTTGGCCTTTTCCTTCGTTACCACTGCTTTCTTAAGTTGCTGTGCATTTCTGCATCTTATTATATGACCACAGCCACAAAACTCCGCAATCCCCCAACTTCGGTCTGTGTCTTTATCTGCTTAACTTTAATATCTGGGGAACTGCAAACTTTATTTCATTGTTAGGATTAAAGAAAGAAGGAAAGCCACCTCACCACCAAAAAGACATGCTGTGAAAAGAGTGAAAAAAACCTGCTGGAAATCTGTTTTTAATATTGAAATGAAGCACATTTCATCGCCTAACAGAATTTATCTTTTCAGGTGAGATGTTTTGTGCTGTAAAGAAACAGCCATTTTCTCATAAGCTCCTTAAGGCAAAAGTCTGTGAGAACTGTTAGAATATATTGTGTTCCTGAAGCTCCCTGCCAGCAGTGTTGTGTGGCACACAGGGTAGCCACTGGGTTTGTGCATCCAGATATGTCCCTGCCCCATGTGCAATTCCAGAGATTGTTTCTACCCCAAAGTAGGAAAGTTATCTGCATGTTGACAAAAATAAATCAAGAAAATCTCCCCAAGAGTCATACTGCTTAATGCAGTGTTCATGGCGGGGAAAGAAGGTACATCACCTGCTGCTGGGTGGTGGGAAGGATTAGGAGCTCAGTTTGTTATTTCTTCTGATTATTTTAATAGAGGTGTAGTTCTTCCAGAAACCCTAGGGAATGTGGATGGGGAGGGCAATACAGGCATTTGCCAGCAGCACTCAGTATTCCCATGCAATGATTGCCATTTGTTGTCCTACTGCTCCCAGTGAGTCTGAGCAAGCTCCCCCCACATCAGTGGTGCTAGGGAATGGCTGATGCCTGATCCAAGCAGGAGTGATGACTTGCTAGAAGCTCTTCTAGTGTGCTGAGAAGAGAGAGAGGAGTACTTATCCATTAAAAGAGGAGTAAATTATTTCTCGCTGCTATTAGCCACAGCACTGTTAAATTATACATCAGTCCTCACTGATCAAAACCATAGCAAAAGGAAGCTTCTCTTTTTTTGTTAAGGATCAGTCTTTTTGTCAGAAAGATGGCCTGTGATAACCTCTGATTTCCTCAGCAAATTGGTGGTCTTTCACCCTTCCCTGTAAACATTTCATAACTCACATTAGTGATATGAATCATAGAATCATTTAAGTTGGACAAGACCTTTAAGATCATCAGGTCCAACCATGAACCCAACACTGCCAAGTCCACCACTAAACCATGTCCCTAAGTGCCACATTGACGTGTTTCAAATCGCTTCAGGAATGGTGATTTCACCACTGTCGTGGGCAGCCTGTTCCAATGCTTGACCACCGTTTTGGTGAAGACATTTTTCCTGATATCCAATGTAAATCTCCCCCAGTAAAATTTGAGGCCATTTTCTTTTGTCCTATCACTTATTAATTGGGAAAAGAGACTGGCCCCCACCTCACTACAACCTCCTTTCAGGTAGTTGTAGAGGACAATAAGGTCTCCTCTGAACCACCTTTTCTCCAGGGTCAGCAACCCCAGTTCCCTCAGCTGTTTCTCATAAGACTTGTGTCATAAACTTCCCTTTTTTTCCTGAGTTCCAGCCAAAGCTCTTCTGTTAATTCAGACCAGTCTTATTCCCTGCCTGCTCCTATTTCAGTACCTGAGGATAACTTACTCCTGTGCCTCAGGGTTTCCTTCTTGAGGAATGTCCAGCCTTCCTGGACACCTTTGTCTTTTAGGAAAGCCTACCTAGGAAATCTCTAAACCAGGCTCCTAAACAGGCCAGTCTGCCCTCAGGAAGTCCAAGGTAGAGGTTCTGATGATCCTCCCCCTCTCCTTACTTCACCAAGAATCAGACCCTCTTTCATTTCATGATTGTTATCATTCCTGTAATTGCTTGGTTCCACACTCAGAGCCTCATCCCTATTCTTCAAGGGCATCTGGGTAGGTGGGGTGGTTACAGAGGAGATGTGACTGCTGCGCCAGGCAGGAACTTGTCACCATTGCCCTGCTGCTTAAGTCACCATGTTCAGCCAGGTGGAGAGAGGGTAGGGAATCCTCCATGTCACGTCTTGTCTGTGTATTGGCTCTGTCTCAGGGAAAGTAGGGCGCAATTCCTGTAGTCTGCCTCTCTCTCACACGTGCTCCCTGATAGTCCTCAACCTACTGGCCTCCTCCTAGAGCTCTGTCGCTAGTCAGAGATGTTCCTCTACAGGGGTGTATCTCCCATGGGTGTGCTCGCTGCTGCCGTCCATACTGTCCATATGCCCAACGTGGTCACTAGTGTTTCCTAAGAGCTTCTTTTATAGGTGTTAGGGGCTTGCCCACCATTGCTCCAGCCCCACTAGGTTTTCCTCAGCTGCTGTTGCATGAGCTGCAGTTTGGGAACACCCCCCCATGCATCAATTGCACCAGCACTGGAGCTGCTCACCTCTGCAACTGGGGTATATACAGAGGAAGAGAGAATTTGGTATTGCATTGGGTCAAGAGAGTCATAAATGCGTCTGGCATTTTGACAGCTTCTCTTGTTGCTGTGTTTCGTATCTCACCAGGATGTAGCTGCCATACTGCCTTTGGAAGTGCTAGCTAACATCATCTAATTAGTCCTGTAAAAAGAATCTATGGGACTGCACAGGTCTTGGATCCTTAGTTTATAGGTCATGTTAATTTTTCTCTGTGTATCCCATTCCTTGCCCAAGAGAAGAGGCATGTGATGTGTTTGTTTGGGGGGTTTTATGTACCTGCTCCTAAATTTCCTTGAGTATTTGAAAAAAAATTTAATGTTTTACATAAGCCAAATTAATGGATAACACAAAATACATGATTTCAAATAAGTTTAATTTCTAAGCCTCAAATTATGGCTTTTTTTCTGTTTGAAGTAAGCACACTTTGAGCTCAGAGGCTAATGGAAGGACAAAATATGCCATAGGATAATTGTTAAGCTTTTGCTCTGTTCCGATGGGATTTTAAACAATGATTCACATGCACCTCCCAGGATTAGCTGGGCTTTCACATATTTTCAGCATTGGGTTCACCACCATTCAGGTTGAATGCAAAATAAAATAGAGAGAACTGACTTCATTACTTGCACTCTGGAAGTGACTTGGCAGCCATTTAGAAAAATACTTAACATTCACCAATTTCCTTGTTTCTCCTGTCCCCTAGGAGCACATTGAGAACAGATCCATTCATCACCATCCCATCCAGCAGCCTGGTGTGCGACGGCTTGGAGGTAGCAGTGATGCCCTGGTGCTTTGATTCATGCAATCAGTAATCTTAAGACTTAACCTAAAAGGGTGGAAAATGCAGTGTGACCCAGAAGATAAGTGATGATTGTTGTGTGTGACAAAGTAACTGGGCTACAGTTCATGTCAACAAATGAAGCCTCCTGAGTCCAACCAAATGATAAATATCCTTTTATTTTTCATTTCTTAAATCTTTGCATTGAAGTTGACCTTATTTTTAGCAGTAAATAAATGTGAACAAATTTGGGAGTATGTTTAAGCTCTGATTTTTTAGGTCTTATTGCCTCCTTCAGACAAAAGTTTGGTTTAATTGGTTTGTTAATTTACTCTGACACTTCTGTCATCTTCATTTTGACTTGCTGTCCTGGGTTCAGAAATAGCAGTCATTTTTCTCCTTCTTGGTAGCTGGTGCAGTGCTGTGTTTTGACTTTCGGGCTGGGAACAGAGCTGATAATAATGATGTTCCAAGAAATATCAGTTGATTGGGTAACTTTGTGCTTGTTGTAAGGGTAAGAAAACATGGGTTTTGGGGGGAGGCTGTTTGTTAGTGAAGTCTCCAATACAGCCATGGGTTTCCTTGCACACATGTTGACGCTGACCCTGCAGCCAGCATTGCCAGTGGCTCTGGGAGCCCTGCTGTTAGTGCCCCTGAAGGACAGAAAGCATGTTTTTTTGATATTAAGGAAAATGTGATATTTATCATACTACAATTTATTATACATTAGGAAAAATAAATGTTGGCTTTTACTATGACAGATTTTTGGTTTATCAACCAAATTCATTGCTGATGAAGCTGGCATTTACTTCTCTTGAGTCATACAGAGGGGGTTTTTTGGCACCTGATACATTAGCAGGTGTGTATTCTTTGTGGCTACAATTTAAATAAATGTTTTGAAATTATGGCAGTGAAAATTACTTTTCTTCCCCACATTAACAAGTAGATGTTGTGTATTTTAATTACTGTGACCAAGCTGCAGTTACAGCTGATAAACATAAGGAGATTATGCTGCAAAAAGAGAAAAACATTAACACTTTCTTAAGGAATTGTCACAAAGATCAACAGAAAAGGGGGGAAGGGGAAAGGTTGGACAAAATTATGCCAAACCTACTTATTAATACCTGCAATACTGCACATTTACTGCATATAGCACACCATAACCTCAAAGTACTTAAAGCTCTACTACATGAATAAGTTATCTCTTTGTGATGCTCTAAGATATTAAGCAGGACAAGTACAACTTCATGTATGAAATAAGCCCACAAAGGATTGTATCACATCTTGGTTTAAGTGTGCATGTGTGCCCCTGAAGTCAGCAATAGGATCACATCGATATAGTGCAGGATCAGAACACCACTGTAATCTTCTTACCAGATGACAAGCAAAACTGTAGAATTGAGAGAAAATGTTTTTTAGAGATGTGTCCACTTCCCCTCTCCCCCTTTTTTAAAATCTTGTGCAAGACTCAGTGGAACAACTGCCATGCTATGAACATGCAGTAGATTGCAGCCAAATATTAGGCAGTCTTGTAGCGGCTTTTGAAATGATCATATAGTCAGGATTTTACAATACCCTTTGAAATAGGTCAGGGACTCTGCTTTCGCACATTTATTACATTACTGCAAAAGTTTGTTTTAGTGTGGAGGCACGGATGTCTAGCAGTGTGCTGTAACTGAGAAAAGAAGTTCTGTGACCAACTGAGGAGACAGGCTGGGTACATTTCACTCCTGTAAATGATAGGATAACATATTGATCCGGAGGGAAACAGCATTTGCCATATGCTTGGTGCTAAAGTTTTTTGCTTGAAAGAACAAGAGTTGGCCACAGACCAAAGCTCTGTGGTTAAACATGCCTTGATCTTTGAGGAAATTCCCAGTTTCCTTTGGCAGCTCTTCTCAGGCTAAAGCAGAAGAGGATAGATGCAGCACTGGGCATTAGTTGCCATCATCTCCAGCTATCCCAGTTGCTTCATGGCCTGTTACAACACTTGGGATCCCTTGGAGGTATTCCTGGTGAGTATCTTCTGATAGAGGTGTATCCTGTGGGTTTTGTTTTTTTTTTTTTTTAATACCGTAAAGTTTTTATAAGAGAATGTCAAAACAAAAGATGTTGAGAGATTCTTCTAGCTTTTATAGTACTTAAATTTATATATCTTGTGATGGCGTGTTCCATTTTGCAGGTCCAACATAAGCATATGATTTTGCACTGTAATATGCAGTTCTGGTAATTTAAAAAACTTTTGCAGCTATGTAATCTATAGAAAAAAAAGAGGGTTTTGCTACCTTATGTGACTTATGTATATGAAAGACTTTGAATTAGCTTCAGATCATTGTCTAGTACTTCTTAGACTGGACTTAGAGACTTTTGACAGCTGACTTCCCAGGGCTTCTGTCCCTCTGAGCCTTCCTGCAAATAAATATTGGCAGTTCTAATTTCTTCCTGGACACTGATTTCCTTGTAATGTTCTTACAAGCAATACTTGGGTATGTTGGAGGTCCCTTGCCTTTTACCTATAGTTCAAGTCCTATTAAAAGAAATTTATGGCTGCTGGTGTTACCAGCAGTGAGGGATGTTCTTCAGCTGGAGCTCTGGGTGTGTTGGTAGAGACAGTCCTGCACATTTGATTCTAACAGATAAATGTGAGTGCAGTGAACCCAGCACCTATTAAATAAGTTTCACCAGCTCATTCAAAGTTATCCTGCCTCAATTTTACCTCCACCAAAATGGGGAAAAAGTTTCCTCTGCTGGGCACCTAAATAATTGTGTGTGTGTCAAACACTAGTTCACATGAGACTTGTGTTTGAAACTTGAAAACTGTCTTGTACTTGGCTCCCATGTATACCTGGGGCTCCCACTAACCTGCACGTGGTGTTCGGTGGCCAAAGGCTGCATCTGAGAATGATACTAGTGCTTTGTCTCTTCTTCATTCTGTGTCTGCATACTTCAAACAGACAAAGTTAAGATAGTATTAAGACGTTAAATACTGGAATTTGTGTAGCCTCTAACTTGCTGATTTTATGAATGGCATTTTATCTGGTAACCAACAGCATACCTGTCCCTTTTTTAGCCATAATCAGCACCAAGAGAAAAGTTCACAGCAGACACTAAAGATTTTCTTTCTCAGTAACAAACACGGAAGCCTCCAGCCATGCCTTTTTGCTGTTATCATGAACAAAGGTTAATTGCCACATTTTGTTTTTCAGTTTGTAATTAAGGGTTGAGCTTTCAGTACTTTTCACTGCAGTTACTGACAACTGAAGTTCATCCTTTTAATCATTGCAGAAAAAGGTATGGTCTCTAGAACAGATCCCCCTAAAACCTGCTGGCTTTCTTCTTTCATTTGGAAGCATGTCTACAGCTAGGAAAAGCTGAACTAGTGTGTCTGGAGAATATGCATTTTAAGACTAGCAGTTTGAATTTTGGTTTTCCTGAGCCAACTGAAAGTTACGTGAATGGAAGGTAGTTTCCAGGCTGAGGCTGTTATGGGAGACTGTGATTATGTTGCAAGCTGTATAGAAATTGCATTGTCAGATGCTTTGTTATTAAGGCCCATTGTGTTTGCTGCTGTTTTCCATGTTTCACATTTTATTGTATTAAGAAATTTTCCTATTGTAATTTTTCCCTTCGCTCCTGCAGCAGAACTCAATCAGAGCTACATTAGTGAAAGAAATTGGACTGTTTTTCAAACTACTGCAGGCAGTCAGTGTTCCAAGGGGGCAGGCAGTAGCTGCTGATGGTGAAGGAGGTCTGGTGGGGGCACAGGGCCTGAGGCCACAGGAAAGAATCACTTTGCACAGATAGTGGAACAGATGCATGTCATTACATCATTTGGGTATAATACATTTTTTTGCTTGTCCATTACTATTATGAAAACATGATTGCTTTGTCGCATTAATAACTGTTATGTTTATGAAATGAATTTAAGTGGAAAGATTTATTATATTAAACAATTATTGGAAGGAAAATGGAAAATTTGATACTTAGAGTAGTTTGAAAGAGCGTCTATCTCACCTGATTAGGAGAAAAAGCTGCTCTGTCTTCTTAAATTATTTTTTCTCTGTTTAAATAAATCTTGTGAAATGCTTGCATGCCTGCAAGAATTATGAAAAGCTGTTAAGACCTAAATCAAGTGTTCCAATGTTGCTGCATGAATCTTCCAAGGCAATAAACTTTTGGTATCTTTGACAAGTTTTATGATTCAAGATAGGTACACTGTGCTATGTACCATATTTCAAAGTTACGCATCTGAATAGATCATATCAATTTTTATATGCTAATAATTTGTTTTGGTATTTTAATCCTAGGAGCCATAACTCATATCTATCATGTTCCTTAGGCTACAGATGATTTGAATAAAATTGAGAGGAAAAATCACTTTAGGAATACCTGCAGTATTGCGCTGCTCCATTGCAAAAATAAAGCCTAGAAATAAAAACTTTGAATTGAATCTTACCAGCTTCAGGTCAGAATTGTTCCCTCTGGTGTTTTCCTTTCCCTTTGCCACAGTATATTTTCAGTTTGCTGAATGTTTGGGCTCTTTTCCATTTCCTGTGGTAAATTCTTGAGTAGGCAAATCAATCTTGCTATTTGCACACAATTTTCACCTAGGAGTATAATCTAAATGTTTCCTTCCTTAAATTTACCTGAAACTCCCACTGATATTCATGGCATATTACAAAGTTTTACCTGTTCTAATACATTACATATTGTGAGAGAAGTTGAAACTCAATTTTGTTGTTGCAAACTGGATGATGATGGCAGTGATATTTGAATGGTGGGAATGTTATGGCAATATTGGAGAGTTATAAAGCTAACTGAAAACTGTTTTGAGGGTAGGCATTACTGAAAAACAATGTAATCTCTATAGCTTTGTAGCATTTCAAAATTCCTCTATCTAAACGTAAGATGTACAAAGGCCCATGAAAGCTCACTAGAACCTGCAGGGATTTCTAAGTGTTTTATATAAAACAAAACAAAGCAACAATCAAATGAAAAAAAAAAAGAAAGGACAGAAAGTGAAACGTCTAACCATAGAAAAGATAAATGATGATGCTAAAACCCAGTTTGTATTGTTTCTCCAGTAAAAATATCTTTAGTGTTAAATGGAAAATCTCATTGTATGGTAAACAGTTTATTAACTATCTGCTCCTGAGTACCTTTGAGACCCCATCCCAATATTTGTATTTAACCAGGCAAGCCAAGACTGATTCCCTTCTCCCCACTGCATCTGCTCTCTCTCTGCGTGTGTGAA